GTCTCAGTCCTGCCTGCCTCATGGGCGCGTGTTCTCACAGCACAAGAGCAACACTTTGAAAGCTACCCAAGTGTGTCTGGGGTATGGTTATTCATGAGCACAAGCATGCATCCACTTCCTGTTCTGCTGCCCTCACTTCCTGTGTTCTTTGCAGTATGAAATCTCTTGTGTCTCCCTTGCTGTGTTGCCCCTCCCCCTGGGCAGTCATGGCCTCTCTCCAGTTGTCACCCTGTTGATGTCCAGCTAGTACTAATGAGAGTCATATATGCCAAGCACCCTAGTAAGGGCATGGCAACCCAAGTAGCCCTTTTGCAACTGGGGAAACGGAGGCACTGACAATGAATTCAGCAGGTCTCAGGTAAACAGTGGGGAATCTGGGCGGTCAGTGTGAGCCTTGCACACTGGACAACAGTGTGAGCCTTGCACACTGCAGAGGTGCTGTGATGCCCACACAGGGTTAGTATGTGGAGGGCAGTGGCACGTTCCACGCTGTGTCCTCCCGCAGGGCTGCTCTGAGAAAAGCAATGTGAATGGCTGTGAAGGTGCTGTGTAAGGGAAAAAAAAGGTTAGAGGTTATCATTATAATTAAATATTTTTAATGACAATGAAAATAGAAATGCTTAGAATATAGCTAAAGACACATCTATGAAAATACACACCATCTGTTCTTCGGCAGTTTTGTAAATATTCTGTGGATGGCACAGACCTCAAGATGCAGTGCTTAACTTTCCAGTTAATGAAATCTTAGCAACTTTGTCCAATCTCTCTCTATCCCTCTCCCTCCCCCCCTCTGTGTGTGTACCACATGCAAGCCTACAGAAGTCAGAAGAGGGTGTCAGATCCCCTGAGTCTGGAGTTATGGATGGCTATGAACCACCATGTGGATGCTAGGAACTGAACCCATGTTCTCTGCAAGAGCAGCAAGTGCTCTTAAACACTGAGCCCTCTCTCCAGCCCCCTATTTTAATTTTTAAAGTAGTGGGAAAACATATATAGCATAGGAGGACTGGGAGACGGTTCAGTCAGGGAAATACACAAGAGTTGGTGCCTGCATTGCTTATTCTCTGCTCTTTCCCGCCGTGGGCCCGCCCCTGTTGCCGGCATACATCTGACTCTGATGGAATGGAGCTGATTGCATCTTTAAGCACCCCTCTTTTTGTTTTAGATGCAAGAGTTGTGGTTTTAAAAAATACTGCCCCCCCATTCCTAATCCTAGAAATATTCTCCTTAGCAACCTGAGGGGCTGACTAGTTTCCTTTCCCACATAAATGGTTCTTGAAATACCTCCTTTATCACGCATTAAGTGTCTAGGTGTGTACCTATGTGTGCACCTCAGATGGGTATCTTTAGATCCTCTTTTCCAAGGTCACTCAGTCCCTAGACAGCTTTTCTGAGGTTGTTTAACTCTTGTAAGATTAACCCGTACAGAGCAAAAAGAAGTCTAGGGGTCAGACATGCTAAACTTTTCACTTGACACTGGGTAAGGTAACTATCAAGTCCTGTGAGGATTAATAGAGCCTTTGAGAACAGGGGTGTTGCCTCAGCTGGTAAAAGGACTAGCCTCACAAGCCAAAAGACCCAAGTTCAGTTCCTGGAACCCATGTGAAAAACTGGATGTGGTGGCTCACATCTGTAATTGCAAAACTCCTATGGCAAGATGGGAGACAGGACTCCTATGGCAAGATGGGAGACAGGACGGGAGGATTGCCTTGACGCTGAGCTCGTGGGTCAGCTAGCCCCAAGTACTAGCATTTCAGCCAGCAATACAACAGCAAGAACAAGAGGGTCCCTGACTCAACAGGCAGAAGGTGAGAACTAACTCCCCAAAGTTGCCCTCTGACCTCCATGTGCTTTCCCACACTTGCATGCACACATACATAAACAATTTTCATGATTTTTATTACTTATGTGTATTATTTACCTATGGTGCCTGTACCTGCACATGAGTGCAGTACCTCTGGAGGCCAGAAGAGGGTGCCAGATATGGATCTACAGTTACAATTGTAGTGAGACAAGGGTACTTGGAACCAAACTCAGAAAGAGTGACAGGTGCTGGTACCCACTAAGCCATGTTTCTGGCCCCAACATTTATTTATTTATTTATTTATTTATTTATTTATTTATTTATTTGTTTGTTTTTAACATGTTTTCAAAAACACCTTGGGATGAGCTAATGGAATCAGCATACCTTCTGAGAGAAGCCAACAACTGAGCTAGTCCTTGACTTTTTTAAATTTATTTATCAGAGAAGTAGACATATTAACGGCTAGTACATTTGATGCAATAATTAAATTGAGTGAAAAATTCAATATATTCTCATATTTCTCACTTCTCTACCAAAATGTAACTGTTTTGGTTGACCAGGATTCTGAGCCAAGCTTGGTTCAGTTCACAGTGTTTGTGGCTTAGCTCATTGAGGTAGACCAGGAGATAAGATCCAGGCTCCCCAGTCACAGGGAACATTTCCCACCCAACACACTGAGTTCTCTGTAAAAGAGCCCCCAACATCTTACCAAGTCCTGGAGCCAATTCTGGGTCATCTGCTGGTGTTTATTTTTTAAATTAAAATTTAGCTGGACAGTGGTGGCCTTTAATCCCAGTACTGAGGAGACAGAGACAGGCATATCTCTGTGCTTTTGAGGACAGCCTGGTCTACAAAGTGAGTTCCAGGACAGGCTCCAAAGCTACAGAGAAACCCTGTCTTGAAAAAACAAAACAAAACAAAGACAAATTAAAACTAAAAATTTTATATGTATGGGTGTTCTGCCTGCATGTATTATGTGTACCATATACGTGTCTCGTGCCAGTTCAAAAGAGGGTGTCTGATGCCCTGGAACTGGAATTTCAGATGGTTGTAAGCCTCCACGTGGGTGCTGGGAATTGAACCAGGTCCTCTAGAAGAGCAACCAGTTCTCTTAACCCATGAGCTGTCTCTCCAGCCCCAGCTGCAGACATTTAAAGAGGACTTTTCATCTAATTTGTTGAAGGACAGGAAGTACTCTGAGCCTGGCAAGGAGAGGAACCCGAGTTCATTGTGCCTGTATCTCTGGCCTGTTGCTATGGCACCTGAACCATGAGAACTGAATAGGCCTATCTACTACTGTTTTCCCAGCCAGCCAGTGGTGCTAAGCTTCCCTTGGCCATCAACATGGCCCATCGGTGGGGTGCTTGAGCAAACCTGGGCAGCATGGGGAGAAGGATTGTTTCCTGTTGGTTCGGAGTCTGTTTGAACCTTGTCTATCCTCAAACTCTCCTTGTTGGTAAAGGAAAGATACTAACCACAAAGCAGTAACAAAAAGCTGTGTGTCAGCCATCCAACACATCAGACCCAGAGTCATACAGGGAGGGCTGATCCGCCAGAGAAGAACAAGGAAGTGTGTGTGTGTGTGTGTGTGTGTGTGTGTGTGTGTGTGTGTGTGTGTGCGCGCGCGCGCGTGTGTAATTTAACATGCAATGATTGTAGGTTCATGGGAAGTACTTACTTAGGTAATAATCATTAGAGATGGTTTCTTGGTCTCTCATTCATTTCTGAATGTTCAATTCATTTGTAGTTTAAAAGAGTAAACACATCAAACAGGCTTGAGGTGCTCATGTTTTTAACATATGCTGATGGGGCCTGAGAGATAAAACCAATGCTTGTGCCATTGTGGCTTTTTTACTCAGAGGTAGAGCCCAAGGAGATATAGTCAGCAGCTTGAATGAATGGAAACTACACAGAACTTTTATACAGAAGTATATAGAACCAGAGGGAGACACAGATGGGTGTGTCTACACTCCCTCAAGACCAACAGCACGTTCACGCAGGCTATGTGCCCAGACACGCAGAGGAACACCCATGACTGTGGTGGTGTCACATTTGCGGTGATTGTATTTGTAACTGCCAGTAGGCAAGACTTTCTCTTCTAAATGGGAGGTGCTTGTCTTCCACACTGAAAAGAACGACTATGGGAAGATTGTCTGGGTAAAGTTAAATGGCTGGATTGATGAGACATTTATTGCAATAAAGGCAGAGAGGCTTTGTGGTGAAGGAGGGATCCAAGGCAACATGGACCCAAGTCCCTGAGTTCCTAAGAGCCTCCAGAGAGCTACCCCTCTCTTTCCTACTTTGGTGTTCTCGAAGTCAAGGTTAATCTATGATGACCTCATGGTCTTCATATCGCTGTGCTCTGTCCATTTTTACCCACTCACTGGATAGCTGCAAATTTAATTCTAAATGCACTGGTAGTCTAGATGCATTCTTTTTTTTGCACATGTGCATGGCCTGTGTGCGTGCGTGCGTGCGTGCATGGGTGTGTGCGTGTGTGTTTGTGTTTGTGTGTGTGTGCAAGCCAGGGGTCAACGCTGGATGTGTTCCTTGATCATTTGCCACCGTATGTATTGAGGTGGGGTCCCTCGTTAGCACCCACAGCTCACTGATTTGGATAGTCTAGCTAGCCAGCTTGCCTCTAGGAAGCTCCTGCGCCTGCCTTCCAGGCAGGCTGTTATGGCTACTTGGTTGGCATTTACATGAATGCTGGGGATCTGAACTCAGGTCCTCACACACCCGCAGCAAGCATCACACCACCCTCCATACAACACTTTCCTGATCTCCGCTCTTGTCCTTATTGGTGGACAAACTCTAAACTCTCAGTTTTGATTCTCATCTTCCATCCTGGCCCCGTCTGGTCAGGTCTACACTGTAAACCATCTCTGCTTGTCTGAGGGGGTCTCCCCATGCCCAGTGGGTGCCCACTGCCTATTAGCTGTGGTTCTGCTCTTAATTCTTAACTGTCCTTCAAGACCCAGTTCAATGACTTCCTTCCTTTGAAGCTGTTTCTGATGGTCCCAGTGGACCTTTCAGTCCCTCTAATGATTTATCTTATGGCCTGGCTCCCCGATCCCTTTCTGTGTGATTGTCTATGTGATCCCCTTTCTGTATCATCTTCACACAAAATTGGAGACTTATTTGCTGAATTTGATTTTCCCTTTCTCAGTCTTTTTTGCAGTTTTCTGAATTCTCGTTAGGGAAAGGACCAACGCAGCCACCAGCACCACGAGCCATGCAGGTTCATCTCCTGTGTTTGGGGAAATGACAGGGTCAGCATACCTGGAGTACAGTGGATGAACCTCACCTTGGGAAAACCACTTTTTACTCCTGGTATCACTCCCTTGCCAGGTGAGTTTTCTTGTGCATATGTATGTATGTATGTATGTATGTATGTATGTATGTATGTATGTATTTTTTTTCAAAACTACCACAAGATTGTAAAAGTGCTTCTACTTAATAAATGATTATAAAGAGAACAATAAGTAGCTAGCATCTGTGTCAGTATGTAAAATGTGGGTAATTCTGTGTAAGTCCCTGCTGTGTGTGTACCATATGAGACCCCCTCTCTCAATACCTGCTTCAGGGATTTGGACTCATTGCATTGGTCGGTCACTTCAAGGATAAATGATTAGAAGACAAGGTTGTTCCGTGTGAACAGGACGAGGGTCACAGTCATCATAGGACAAAGGATTCAGACCTCACTCCCCCACCGAGAGTTCATCAGAGGTCCCTCCATAGATAGGAGAGCCATGTCCCACACCTGAAGTGTTATTGTTAAGAGACTTGAGAGACTGCTCCGTGGGTAAGAGTGCCCTCTGTGCAGCCACAGGGACCTGGGCCCGAGCCCCAGCATTTACATCACAAGTTAAGTGTGTTCTCAGGAAGGCCTGTACCCCAAGTAGCACTATGCTTGGCAGAGACAGGAGATGCTCTGGGGTTGGCTGGCTCCCAGCCTTGTTGAAAACATGAGCTCCAGGCTCAGGGAGAGACCCCGCCTCAAAGGGAAAGGCAGGAAGGGATCAAGGAGAACACTTGAACCCTCTCTCTGTTTTCCACGCACACACCCCCACACCACACATACACAAGTCATGTGCACATATACCACACACATGCCAAACACACATGTCACATGCACACACACCACACACACCCCAACACACCACATACATATGTCATGTGCACATATACCACATACTTGCCAAACACACATGCCACACGCACATACACCACACAACACACCAACACACCACACATACATGTCAACATGCCAAACACACATGTCACATGCGCATACACTACACACACACCCCAACACACCACATACATATGCCATACACACATACACCACATACATGTCACATGGACATATACCACACATATGCCACGTACATATACCACACACACACATGTCATGCGCACATATACCACACATTCATATACACATACATAGGCCACACATACCACACACACATTTACACATATGTAACATGCACACACGTGCCACATACACACATACTGCACACAGACACCTCACATAAATATGCCACACACACATACACCACATACATGCCAGATACATACACTACACACATACACACACGCTACACACATATTTCATATACATATATACCACACACATATGTCACAGTGCACATATATCACACACACGTGTGTCATATGCACTCACACCACACACACGTGCATATGCCACACATAACAAGATGCTGTAAAATTTTAATTCATGCATATCATTGTACACAATGCTGTACATTCATGATGACATTTTAAACATTTCTATCTGGTAGTTTGCCTGTCATCATCACTTACTGTCCTCTCCCGCCCCCTCCCAGCCTGGTGCCTTCTTTCCCGCAAAGGGGACGTGGTAGGATTCATGAAGCCTCTGTAGGGTGATGAATCCCAGTGCACTGGGGATCGAATCCAAGTCAGGAGAGGCCCTGCTCTGCCAAACTGCATCCCGAGTCCGTCTCAGGAAGTTAGAGAAACAGTGACTGTTGACATCACCCACTCAGGTGCCTGCCCCTTGAGAGCAGCCTGGGGACAGGGCTTGGAGAGCAGCTGAGCTCCCAGTAAAGTCAAACTCCTAAAACTACCCCAAGTGGGAGAGCATCTAGAGCCACCAGTGTGGTGGAGAACGGGGACTGTAACAGCATCTTGTGCCATCTTGCTGCTGTGACCAGTAACCTTCTCAATATTTACATTTTATTTTTATCTCCACGGTAGAGGCGTTATTTGTGTGCAGGCTGTTAAAAACAGTTCTCAGGGAGACACTCCCAGCTGCCTCCCCGGGTTCCATCTGCTGCTTTACATGTCGTCCTGTGCAGTTAACCGTTGCTTGTCGGGGCTGTTGGGATTTTCTGAGGACAGGGCCATATATATATATATGTTTAGGGTGGGTTGGGAGTTCGATTGATCTGAAAGATAGTGTTTGGTTACTCACTAACAGTATTAAGCTGGGAAGTCAAGCAAACAGTGGCGTGGAGTAGCGGGAAGTTGTAAGAGTTAACTTGTTGAGTGAGACTGTGTTTCTGGAAGTATCTGCCTTACCTTGTCTCCAGTTAATCTTAAATATGTAAATCCTCAGTTTATCAGGAATTACTTAGTGGGGGCTGATGTGTGAGTGTGGGAGATTATAACATCCCATCACCACCTCTGATCCTCTTTACTTCTTATTCTTTTCATAGCAGATCAAAAAAGCTGCGTGTGTGCCACAAGAATATATTATTTTAAGAGAGTTGGACTTAGGCATTGATTTCTTTCATGAGAAAGAGCAAAGTCTCCTTCTGACCCTGGGGTCACTTCATAATCCTGTCACTCAGTAGCAACCCCCCCCCCCAATAAAGAAGATGAGAATATTTTTGAAAAGGAATTAATTTTTCAGCCAGAGTAAAAACAGTTACTCACCAGCTGAGCTGCAGGGAGGGGAGAACGTGTGTCCTGTGATTGGAAGTGATTGGGGTCAGGCAGTTGTCGGCAGAGGCTGGGATTGGAGAAGGGGTGGAACCAATAGTGTATTTTATTGATGACTTCCAGGATTAAGCCACACGAGTCTCTCTTCCTCTCTATCCCTGTCTTTTGTAAAGGGATTTTATTGCTTTCAAATATTTCAGATATTATAATGAGGCTGATGCAAGCAAGCTCTTCTCCAGCATGGATTTAAATTAATAAGCTCTCGAGCGGGCTGTGACTCTCAGATCCACCCGCGGTGTGTACTCCTCTGTGCTTCAGGGTGTGTGAGCTAGTGTCCGATGTGACAGTCACCTAGAACTGTGCTCCCTGGCCACACAACCACCCCGTCCCAGCAACATGCCTACAAATTCAGCATCGGCCGCTGGGGACCTCAGGCCTCACAATGTCTAGAAGCTTCCCAAAGCAACCCTAAAGGGCTCAATAGGACTGAGAACAGCTAACTCAGGCAGGCTCTGAACTCACCTGGAGTTGACAATGTATGGAATCTCTCTTTTGGAGATGCAGTGTCTGCGTGTCTGGAGCCCATGTTTCAGTTCCACACTTAGACTATTTTGGTAGATTTCTAATCTCTGCTAACGTGGCACTCCAGGGCATCTTGCACTACTCATACTAATGCTATAATGTCTACCTTACTGACAGAGAGAATGAGTTTAGGAAAAACAAGCTCGATTCAGGAAATGCACACACATGTGTGTGGTACATATCATATCCCCTGTGTACTAAAGAAGAGATGATGTGTGAAGAAAGGTTGGCTTGGTTCTTTTAGCCCCGTCATGATGAACTACACCCTAGCAACTGAACATTCTACCGTGAGTGATTCATTTCTTAAGTTTGTCAATCCAGGTGATTATATTTAAAAATAACTTGATTCTTGAGGAGATGTGGTGTTATGTGACAGGGACAGACCTTTCTGGACACAAGATGGTGGAGAGAGCCTCTGCTAGACTGGCTTTGTGGACATGAGACCCGTGCTTAAAGCTGTCTACATTTTGTTAAAAAAAATGCCATAATAATTTAGAAAAAGCCCAGGTAGCTTAGTCAGTAGAGCATGTGACCCTTAATCTCAGGGTCATGGGTTTGGGCCTTACATTGAGCACCATTTGTGGAATGAAGTTTGTTTACCGCCAGGTCCTGCAGCCGTTTAGTCCCAAATAAACACACAGAGGCTTATATTAATCACAAATTGTTTGGCCAGTGGCTCAGGCTTCTTATTGACTAGCTCTCTCTTAATTATTAACCTATTTCTTTTAAACTATGTATTGCCACAAGGCTATAGCTTACCTGTAGTGCCCTGGTATGTTACTCCTTCGTCAGCTACATGGCATCTTTCCGGAGACTCTCTGTCATTCCCTTCCCAGCATTCTCCTAGTCTGGTAGCCCCGCCTATACTTCCTGCCTGTCTATTGGCCGAAACAGCTTTATTCATCAACCAATAAGAGAAACATATATTCCCAGCATTCAGAAGGACATCCCCCTCATTATATGTAATTAACTGTCCTTTAACTGTGGTTTAACACCCCAGCTACACCCTCCCCTCTCCTGCACTCCCTCTTTCCTTCAGTCTCTCTTTGGTATTGAAACCTTCCATCTATCATTGAGTGCATTCAATCTATTGAAATTCTTCAAGAAGAGAGAGAGAGAGAGAGAGAGAGAGAGAGAGAGAGAGAGAGAGAGAGAGAGAGAAGGTTTCTCTGTGTAGCTCTGGCTGTCCTGGAACTCTTTGTAGACTGGGCTGGCCTCAAACTTAGAGATCCACCTGACTCTGTCTCCCATGTGCTGGAATTAAAGGTGTGCACCACCACGCCTGACATAGTAATTTTAAAACATTTTAAAATTAATTTTTAAACTTAATATATAAAATATTGGGTCCCCTACCTCCACAATAGGTATCAGTAACCCAGGCAAACTCTGGGCTCTTGAACTAGGAAGTGACCTTGGATGTTCCATCCCCTGAGAGATGACAGTTGGTGTGAAGGATGGTCATGAGTCCTTGGGGTGGAGATCATGTTTGTCTTAGGGCTGTGGCCATACCCAGCATGTTGTTGTCTTTTAGTGAATGAATGATTGCACAAATGAATGCTTGAGGAACCCACTTGCACCCACCATGTGGGTCCCCCATGGCTCTGTTTTAAGCCAGGGGTTTTAATCAAGGCAGACTATCTTCTTTAAACACAAGGATTAGCCTCTAAGAAAAGAGAAATGTAAACCAGATTCTAATTAGAGACTTTACTAATTATTCTCCCCCACTGTGGACATTAGCTGGGGTTTAGTCTTTAGCTGTGACAGCCACACAACTTTCTCTTTATCTCCAGAAAGGGAAGCATGGACTGGAGAGATTCATTTCAATACCCCAATTCTTTTCCCCTTC